CGAGAGTAGAAGAACTGTTAAGGAACCGGTACTGTGAGCTGGTGCACCGCTAAGAAACCGGTACTGTGAGCTGGTGAATCGGTAAGGAACCGGTACCGTGAACTGGTGGACCGTTAAGGATCCGGTACCGTGAACTGGTGAACCGTTAAGGAACCGGTACCGTGAACTGGTGAACCGTTAAGGAACAGGTACCGGTAAGAACGAGTTAAACAGTACCAGTTTACCAGTAAAGAACTGGTACTGTTGCATGCCTAGTAATAACTTCTTGCCTTGGTCCCCTTCAGGAATCGAGCGACTGAATAGTCAGCTCTTCAGCACCCTTCACCAGCTGCATGATCATTGATCCAGTTGCTGTGTAACTCATCATCGCCAAATGACCATTGATTTTGTTCGTGGTGGTTGCGTCCTGGTCGCGAGCGGAATGTTAGAGGTGGCGATGCTGATGTTTGTTCGACTTACGTATTATGACTTGTGGCAATAAAATAATCAGATAATGGCCGCGTCATATCATGATAACGTCATTCGCATGATGTGGATTCATGATACAAAATTCATCATGAAGAAGCATTAATACATTTTAGAGTTTGTGAGAAAATGCTCCGAACCTTCTCTCAGGACGACAGATGGCGTCCTGCGTCTTCTTATGTTGAAGGAAAATATCAGGTCTGCAAAAGTTGGCTATTTGAAGAACGTTCATCTGTTTATTTATTGTGACTCACAAAAGTCAGGCGAATTCAAGGCTTTGGATTTGGCTCAGTTTATTGATGAAAAATATTATGAATTAACAGGAATTAAAAAACAAATTGGCAATGATTTCATAAGATCGGAAGGAAGTTGTCGTCTCGATCTTCGCAGATGGGGAGCAAAACAACAATTCAATCTCATCGCAAAATAACAAATACAAACATAGACGAAGACTAATGAAAATATTTTTCCTATTTGAACACTTTTATTCTGCATGTATGCGTTTATATTATATAGCCAAGCATGAAAATTAAGCGATGTGATTAAAAAATCATTTTCTGATAGTCTGAGACAGACCAGTGCGTAAAGTATCTAGTGAACTTTGATACACAAATTTTATCTACTTTCTATCAATAATATTTGACGCAACTATGATCCTTTAAATCCACTTTCTCACAAAGATCAAGATATTGTTAATTTACAATTTAAATGGCAAAATTTAAAGGAAGTATCTACTAAACGTAAAAAAGATTTAGAAGATTCACTATTAGCTCAACAATATTTTAGTGATGCAAAAGAAGTTGAAACATGAATTAAAGAAAAAGAATCATTAGCACAATCTATTGTCAATACCGCAGAGGTATAATTTTGGAATTTTATTTCAGACCTCTCTTTACCGAGTTATACGGTTTCTAAAATATAAAAACTTGGTTTTGAAAGTTTTCCGATATTTTTCCTATAACTCGCTAAAGAAAGGTTTAAAATAAAATTCCATAATTAGACCTCTGTGCTACGACCTTGAGTACCTCCGTTAAAACTTTAAACTCGATCGGATGAATTTAAGGGGGGTTGTAATGTGACACAATGAAAAAACGAGTTTTCTGGAAAACTGGTGAACGGCAATAGTCAGAAACTTGCAACAAACGAAAAGTGCTCCAGTGAGTTTCCAATCAGTTCTGAAAATATGAAGTCTTAGTGAGTTTTAGTTTTTATTTCACAGCATTCTACAGAAAGTCCAAAATGAGGGGGTACTCTTAATTATTCGACGAAAGCAGCATCCATACTTTAATTAATTAAATAAAGGAAGGCTGCTGCTTTCGAATGATTAGTATTGTCTAGGTTATTGACTCTAAATTGATTTAATAGACATTGATATACTGTAAAGAATTCCAGCTATAACCCACTAGATTCCGAGAAAAATAGCACGTAATCATCTAAATATGCTTCGCCCATTTTCAAGTCAAAATAGTGTATATAGTTAAGTGATTTATGCGCTTATAATTTTTATCTCTAAGTAGCAATTAACTACTTAGGGGTCGTAAAGTGTTCTTAAACCGCAAAGCCCGACCCTCTTTATACTGTGATTACCCGCAGACTGAAACAACAGATTCTGCTGTTCCTTCTTCGTCTGACAAAAATCTGGACAAGAACTGATTTGTCTTTCATAAAGAATGAAAACATTGAATTTAAAGCCTGCGCAAGAAGTAGGAAAAAAATTTGAAGAAACATGACTTGGAAAGAGCCCTGACTTGACTGGTGATTTTGTTTGTGACTCATGACTTTACTTAACTATGTTACTATGTTTAAGAAAATATATTTTGATTCCACCTTTAGCTTTAATCGACTCCTCTCGGACTGAGAGATGTTTATACTTATCATATATCTACCTATTGATATATGATAACAATATATAAACACTATATATTTTAGAAATTTTATTCTTTCAGAAAATCTCACAAAACATTCATCTTTTTAGATGCTCGTTTCTTTCGAAATGAAAACACTGACAGTCGGGAAAAGATCTGATTTATACACAACAAACAGAGCTCTATCGAATGCATGATTCAAAATCGCTTTATATTCACTTCACAGCCATTCCACGTAAGGGTCCACCCGAGTGGCCAAAGATGAAAAGTGTTCTGGACACAGACTAATAGCGATATCTTGTAAAGCATATTTTCTTACGTAGAAAAGAAGTGTTTTCCTTCTCGAAATATATCACATAATAGAATTGTAAACAAAAGAAGAGTTGAACGATGCCTCCTCATTTCTTACCATATGTCACACACATTTTCATTTTCATCCGGGAGCAGTCACTTTGAGATCTGTGGCTGTCCGGAATGTCTCATCTGAAAGAGGGCAAGCTATACTAGGTCCTATACTGCTTTCCTATTTTACAAAGTCTTTTTACTACTTAGACGAACGCTGAAAAAACTTGACCAATTCTCGCGTAAGTCCGTTACGAAAATAGGATATATTGACATTTTCTCCGGAACAATACGTCCCTGGCGGCACCAAATTTTTGTGCAAAGACAACTTTTGACGGGCTATCCAACGCATTTATTGCATTGTACTCAACTCTTTTCTTTCATGAGAAAAAACGTAACGGACTTACGCCAGGTCAGTTGTACAAAAAATATCCTCTTGATTTTTTTGCTTTTTTTAAAAATTGTTGATCTGAGATTGTAACGTTTATATGTTAAGAAGTTGTTAATAAAAAGACCAGACCATTCTTAGTTACCGATATTGCAGAACTAGTTTCTTTTTCTTACTGCTGCACGTCGATCCGTATGACATAGGAAGTCCGATAGTCTGCATTTGTGTTTATATCATGAACGAATATGATAAACCTAGGTGTAATGCATGCCTGTGTTGAGCTTTTAGTTTTGTACACAAAGCACAATTCAGATATTTTCAATAAGCAATAACAATAATTGATTTTTTAAAAGTACGTTTCCAAAATTACCGATCTTGGAACCCAATGGACTAATAATCAGTTGCTTAAAATTCCATCCTAAAACCAGTGAATTTGAACAATAAATTGTGTGGTAAAACACTGACGAACATCTGGTAACTTGTCGATGTTGTCGGGGTGAACTCTTGAATGTTCAGTTGCGAGTGCAGGTAATAAATCCAATATAAAGTAATAAACTTTTACAAATTTGATCGATAAATAACGGTGCTAGGGTCAAAATACCGAAAACTTCAGACTGTTCCGGCCAATACTGTTAATATATTTTTGGGTATTTTGACCTTAGTACCGTTATTTATGGGTCAGACTGGAAAAGATTTTTTAGCGAAATGATCAGCAAAGAAAGCTCTACAAAGCCCGATCAACAAAAAGGTTTCTCAGAACTTTATGTTTTTGTGAATGACTATCCACCCATGTGAGTGTCGAACCGCATGAAACTTTTCGTATTTCTATAGTTCATTCTTCTCTTATGAATGACCAGTCATACGCCTAAATTCCGTTTTTGGCGGGCTTTCATTTGATATAAAATTCATTTGATATCTCTTGAAATATGAGCTGGAATAATATTATTTCCTGCCCTGTAAGATCTGTGAACAGAGCATTTTGTAGAAATATCGCTTTTGGTTCCTTCAAGGATTTCCTTTTAATAAACCTAACCATAAGTCAGAAAAAAAATTTAAACATACAACTGGAAAGAGCATGAAATGCTGATTCTAGTAGGGTACTTTTGATTCTCTCGAATCAGTTATAAATGATCGAAAATTGATTAAACATTTAGTGCAAAGATTTTTGCAACAAGTATAAAAATGATCCTAAAACAGGTTCATAATATTCTCACATGCATATCTCTCTTATTTCTCGAGCTGTCACCCTCATTTTTGCACCATAAAAACAGTTTCAAATGCTCTTTAAAATGGCTATTTACTTGTTAAAAATACTTGAGTGGTTGCAGAGAGACTTATTAGAAATTGGCCAAACGGAATTTGGATTTTGAAATTTGACCGTGGCCATATTGCACTGGAAATTGGCCAGAAATCAAACTTCCACAAGAATTTGGCCGTTTTGCCACCACTAGAAAGTGGCCACAAATGTAAATTCATGCGAATTTGACTTTAATGCGTTTGCTGCAGTTGCAAGTAAAGGAACAGATTACAAATATATGTAGTAGCAATCATGCTGAATACAATGTACAACGATTATTAATCTGCCATATTTTGTGGCTGGTGATGCTGCATTAAGTAAGAAAAAAAAGCGATTAGGTGATGTACAACAGTTTTTGATCATGGAGATGTTAAAAATTTGTAAAAGTTGAACTTCAAAAGTTGTGCATAGTTTGTTTGTCTATATTTTTGGGCTGTCGTGGACAGAAGCTTGTTATTTCTGAAATTTTTTGAGTTTGAACATTCGAGTACAATCAGCAGTAAAAGCAGGTTTTCTTATTTTAAATATCTAGAGTAATGGGCATCATACACTTTTGATTACGCAATAAGTGTACCGTGCTTAGACAGTATGGCAGCTGGGTATACTACAATAGCTGCATCGTTATGCGTATTTATAGTGTCAGATCATTCACAACAGATGTGGGTTTTTTTGGCAAAATGGCCAAATTCGTGTACAATTTAGATTTTTGGCCAATTTCTAGTTGAATCTAGGAATACGGCCAAATTCTACTAGAATATAAATTTTTGGACAATTTCCGTTGGAATTTGACCAAAACTTGTTACGGCCAAATTCCAAAATCCAAATTCCGTTTGGCCAATTTCCACTTTACCTGCAGAGATATATCGATTACAAAAGTTCTGTGAACTTTTTCTCCATACCTTATTTCAGTTAAAGATTGTTAAAATTATAATAATGCCTAAATTTTTCGGGGCAAACTTAGAATTCTAAGATTATACAGTAGCTGAAATAAACTTAGAACATATATTGTGAAAGATCAATAATCCTAATAATGGTAATATTCCCGTTTAAATGGTCCGTTTTGTTTTAAGCCTAAATAGAAAGCTTGTTGCCGTGTAAGTTTTGTTAATTTAACGTTCAAATGTTCAAGGTGTAGTGTTGCTACTTCTTCATCGAGTTTTTTAGGTAAAATATAAATGCCAATCGGATATTGATCATAATGTTTGTATAATTCCATTTGAGCATAGACTTGATTCGTAAATGAAACGCTCTTTACGAAACTTGGATGACCATGTGCGCAACCTAATCAAAGAAGTTATTACTGCGCTTTTATAAGGGAAAATGGAAAAAAGGCGTTATATTACTTACCGAGATTAACTGCTCTTCCTTCGGCAAGCAAAATAATTGATCGACCGTTTTCTAACTGATAGCGGTCAACCTATAGCAAATAAAAGGCTTCTTTTAGTTTTGTTCTTAGCATTCTTTGTGATGCACTTACTTGTGACTTTATGGTTTCTTTTCCAACATTATTGGAATTTAACCAATCAACATCAATTTCAACATCATATTGACCAAGGTTACAAACAATAGCGTTATCCGGCATTTTCAGCAAATGTTCACTCCGTATGATATCACGACACCCAGTTATGTTACATACATAAATACTGTCCATCTACAGCGCAGTTACTATCAAAAAACAGTCGAATCCAGCAACAGGCAGTATAGCGATATGCTTTCTGACAACTCCCTTGCTGTAATAAATATTCGACCAATGTTACATGCTTCTTCCATCGTTAACACTTCATGACCTGAACAACGAAAGATAATGATAAGAGGCGGCACAAAGCTAACTGTGCAGGAAACTAACCTTCAATAGCCGCTTGTAATGCCGTTATAGGATCAATCTCGGTTACAATAATTCTCGCTCCCATGCCTTTTAATGCCTGAGCTGTACCTTTGCCTACATCTCCATATCCGGCAACAACTGCAACCTTGCCTGCAATCATTATTCCCGAAGCACTTTTAATTGCTTCTACTATGGATTCACGACATCCGTACATGTTATCGAATTTCGATGTTGTGACACTGCCATTAACATTGAATGCACGTAATTTCAGCTGTCCGCCTTCACTTAACTTATATAAATTCTGTACTCCAGTTGTTGATGCCTCTGTTATACCATAAATACCAGAGAGTAATTCGGTATATTTTTCATGTACTAATCTTGTTAAATCACCACTATCATCTAAGATCATATTTAACGCTTGTTTATCAGGAAAATAAATAATCTAAATCAAGTTCAAACTACAGGGTGACCCAAAATTACGCGATATTTCTTGTTGAAATTTCAAACAAATTTATTTTCAAAAAACAACATAATATTTATTTAAAATGTCCGCCCTCTGCTTCGATCACTTCATCTAATCGCCTCATCCAATCGTCAATGGCTTTGTTGATAATCTCCTGGTCCAAGTTGTTGAAGGCATCTTCTATCACTTGCTTCAACGAATCAACAGAATCATGCACTTCTACATTTACCTCAGCCATAAGAATGCTCCAAATTGTGTAATCAAAAAGATTCAAATCAGATTTCTGCAACATCCTTTTGCTTCATCTTTCTAACCTCAACCAAGTAGCAAGCAGCCGGACGAAACCAATCGCTCTTGAACTTCATGGTGATGATAAAATGGCAATCGAAAAATTCGAAAGAACGACCGAAAAGAATAGGCCTGTAGTAACAAATGTAAATGTTAAAACTTTGGTCACAAAAAGATACATTTTACATTTAAAATGTTTCTTTTATCAGCTGCGCCAGAACAGAATTTGGAGCATTCTTATGGCTCAGGTAAATGTAGACGTGCATGATTCTGTTGATTCGTTGAAGCAAGTGATAGAAGATGCCTTCAACAACTT